TTGGAGACATTCCAAATACAGACTCTGACAATACCAAACACATCAAGGAGAATGCACTGCTATGGCCCTCCTCATCATTTATGGATGACATACATTCTGATTTGTTGGTACCTGGTTAGAATTCACTCTGACTGGTCATTACCTGGTTAGCATTCATTCTGATTGGTCAGTACCTGGTTGGCTTCATTCTGATTGCTCAGCACCGAGCCTGTACCTGGAGGCATTTCATTAAGTAAACATGATCATTTTTTCGAAGGAGAAGGTTCAGAGCTTCCAACAGGTTCTCAAAGATGTCCACAGTCCCTAAAGAGCCAAGAACCGCTAATTTAGCGGTTCCCACACTATTTCCCGTCTAGGAACTGTCCCTGCTGCTCAGTTGATTTCTCTACTGCTGCCCTGCATCTCCCTCCCTGTCAGTGACTCAAGGTCTTGGTTTTAAAATTTATCCATCTCTCTCCCTTGCATGGAATTTCTCCTCTCTTCTGCACCTCTATTTCCCCCGCCCTGTCTACCTGGGCCAGCCCCATGGCTCACTCAGGAGGGGGCAGCACTGCGAGCACCAAGGCGGTGGGTTCGGATCCTATATAGGGATGGCCAGTGTGCTCAATGGCTGAGCGTGGTGCTGACCACACCATGCCGAGGGTTGCGATCCCCTTACCAGTCAAAAAAAAAAACCCAAAAACTCCACATTCTGCTCCAGCTGCCATCCAGTTTCCCTGGTCCCTTTATAACAGAATTCTTCAGAAGAACCCCCTCCTCACCTCCCACCTCTGCTGAATCCACTTCGTTTGGACTTTCATCCCCAGCACCCTTGCAGCCACCCTGCAATGTCCGGGTCACCACATCCAACAGTCCCCATCTCCCTGCCCTCCTGGCAGCATTTGGTGCAGTTGACCTCTCCTTCCTTCTTGAAACACTCTCCACTTGGATGTGAGGACATCGTACCCTTTTTTATTCCCCCTAGTGCCATTCCATTCCAGTCTCCTTTGTTGAACCCTTCTCCTCTTCCAGACCTCTGGTTATGAAACACTCCAGTCTTAGTCCTTGGACCGCTTCTCTCCCTAATGGTCTCATCTAACTCTACAGTTTTAAGGACCACCTACATGCTGGTGCCCTCCAGATTATAGATCATCAGCCCCCTCTCCTGAGTCCCAGCCTCATGTATTCAACTGCTAAATATATTTCTTGACGCCTTTGTCTAACAGACATCTCAAACTTATTTACCAAGCATAACTCTTGACTATTTGCTGTCAAACACAATCTACCCAAGAGAAATGAAAACATTTGTCCATACAAATATATATACACAAATGTTCCTAGAAGCATTATTCATAATAGCTAAAACTGGCCACAATTCAAAAGTCCACGAACTGGTGAATGGATAGACAAAGTGTGACACACCCTGACAGTGGGGTACATTCAGCAATGAAAAGGAACTAACCAATGATGCACACTAGGAATGGAGGGACTTCAACAGCATTATGCTGAGTGAAAGAAGCCAGATGCAAAAGACAATGTCATACACAATTCCACTCACATGAAACGTCCAGGAAAGGCAAAGGTATGAAGACAAAACATTGTCAGTGGCTGCCTAGTGCCTGGGGTGGGAGAGGAGATTAACAGCAGATAGACATGAAAGAATTTCTGGGGGTGATGGAAATGTTACGAAATGGGAGGGTTGTAATGGCTATGCAACTGTACACATTTACTAAAAATCATAGAATTGCAGTTATGATGGAGGGATTTATGGCAAATTATACCTCAATAAAGCACTTTCTTTAGAAAAAGAGGAAAGTGTGCAGGCAGTGTATCTCAGGCCAGTAGCACACACAGCAATACTTTATATTTCAGTGTTCACATGTCTGGGCCCTAACTCCTGGTGGGATTACAGAAAGGCACAGGGGATGCTGGCAGCTGCACGGACACGACTTGGTCCCACGGGACCTAGCCCTGCTTGACCCAAGGCCACACCAGCTTGTAGAGATGACCTCTGGGGGCACTTCAAGTCCTAAGAGACCAAGTCCCCTAAGCAGCACACAGGAAGCAGCTAAAGAGCCTCATACTTCCCGACACCACCGCCTCTGCCGGCCCACACTTGATCCCCCATGTCCTCACAGATGCCACACTCTGCACTGTAGATGCTATCTTTGCTGTCTGCCCATTCCTCTGGACTTGACACTTAGAACCTTACCTGATCCCTGACCTACACTCCCTTGCCTGGCCAGATCCGCCATGCCCGTCTCCTGAGCCCAAGCCCCCAGCTGCCTGCTCCCCCCACCTGAATTAGTATCTGCAGCTGTGCTGCTCCAGGAGTTACTTCATTCTCTCTGAGATTAAGGTTGACGGATACTTACAAAATTGGACAACTTCCCAATGCCATCTGCCTTATGGCCAATCAGTCTCGTCCTCTGCTCTCACAGGGAAAGCCAGCTCAGGAAAACCACTGCGACCCATTAAAAAGTAGTTTACAAAGAAATGGCACGGGAAAACTATCATTTTTTTAGGTATACTACATTCATAGAAGATTTTGCCCCAGGAGAGTTTTCCACTGTGAACTTGCTAAGGATATAACTAAAATAAACTTAAGTCTTTAGTCCTAGAAAGGCTCTCCAGGATGGATTTTCCACCACAGATGAGAGAACTGAGATCACCCCAGCAAGGTCCAGCCTCCCACTACTCCAGGCTACCCTCCAGAGCCCATCCCTTCATAAAGCCAGAGGCCCAGCTGTCTCCTACAGCTCAGGAGTTTGCTTCCTCTTCAGTAGACACAAGTCAGAAAACCATGACCACACGTGGCCTTGAATTCATCTTACAGCTCAAAGAAAACCACCATGCAGGGCTACGACATGGCATTCCTAACATTTTCCGCCACTTGTCTCTTCCTGGTCGTTTTGAAAACAAAGGCTCACTTCCTTGGCTCGTCCTGATAACAATGAATCAGACCTCTCTCCAGAGGGTGTTGCCTGTAGCACTGGAGTCCCGTGCCACACTACACCCATTCAATACCACACACCCTGAACCCAACTGTACTCAAACACCAAATCAGAGTTCAGTAAAACAAATATTGCGTGACATTTCCTAGTACTTACCATGTCCGTCATAATCTGCAAAATTACCTGGCAAAATCCACATTAGCCCTTCCTCGGCTGCCCTTGGAGGCTGGTTTTTCTGTTTGTTTAAAGAACTGTGAGCATCCTTGTAGTCTGTTCTCATTAAGACTCTCCTTTGTGTTAAGTGAGTTTTATAGTGTTAACTAGAATAGCAACTAAGGAGCCCATCACCCTTGCTGGGGGGAAACCCTGGACAACTTCCCAGGGGCTTGCACTGGCCCCTGACCCACCTCTGGAGTCACAGAGTGAGAACCAGAGACATCTGCCGCTGGCCACCAGTGTGGGGCAGGCCCAGGGCCCTGCACTTTTGCGGCTCTGCCTTACCGCCCACAGGGACACAGGCGCCACACAAGGCTGGTGGATGTTTCTCAGGCCCGAGTCCTTCTGCTCCTCTCTACTCAATACACAAACTTTCCAGTTCAAATTCCATCTCAATTTAATCTACTTTTTAAACTCATGGAAGGATGTGAGTTTAGATTTACTGAAGAAAGTCACAAATTCATTTAAGTGATAAACTTTGTTTTCTTTAAAAAGTAAAAACGGGGCTGAGCCTGTGGAGCACTCGGGAGAGTGCGGCGCTGGGAGCGCAGCAGCACTCCCGCCGCGGGTTCGGATCCTATATAGGGATGGCCGGTGCGCTCACTGGCTGAGCGCCGTGTGGCTGATCTCAAAAAAAAGGCAAAAAAAAAAAGTAAAAACGAAGGAACTAAATTAGTGAATGTGTTACCGGACTCAAGTCCAGCTGTCCACCCCTTTGAAAAGGAAAGAAAAAAAAAAACCTCAGAGGTCAAATGGTTGGTGTTAGGAAAGCAGATGTATTCAGATGAAGGAGATGGTAGGCTACCCCATCTCAAAGATTTACATTTACTGAGTGGTTTTTAAAGGAAGGGTTGAGGGAATGGAATGTGGGAGGTGAAAAGCAGGAGAGCAGGAGATGTGAGTTACGAGGGGTACATGTCTGCGAGCCAGGTACAAGGTCTCACCAAGGCTTCACCTGGTTTCTGTTCTCATGTTTGCTGTTATCTCAGGACCCTGCAAGATTTTGATTTGCGCCAGCATACTGGCTAGTGCCCAAGGTCAGCTTCCAGTCGTTTGGTCTTGATCATTTCTCAAAACTCTACAAATCTCAAAGAAAGAACTGTTAGCTTTGCAAAGTACTAATTAGCTTCTCAGCCTTGTTTTCCTACTTTGCGAGCAAGATGAGAAAGCCAGGGGGTGGGAAGCAAGAGTGGAGAGAAAAAAACTGTCCTTCTAAATATCCTTCCCCCCTCTGCAGGCCAGGCAGCTTTAGGTCCCAACATGGCTCCAGTCCTGCTCACTCCAACAAATGTGCATGTCAAGACTGAGAATTGAAAGGAAATTTATTGTGAAAGAAATATAGGAATAGGAGATTAAAACCACTGCACGGGAATTTATCTCCATGAATTAATTTTCTCCAGGACTATCTTCTTTTCTGTTTTTTTTTTTTTTTAATTCTGAGTTTTGAACATCACTTTCCAACATAGTTAGAATTCAGTAAGGGCTAAGAAATTAAGGAAATTCCACTTAATAAGAAAAACTCTGAGAGGATTAAGAAAAGTATAGATATAGATAACTCAGAACATGGTCGGGGGGAAGACTCCTCACCCTCATTAATACATGTTAACGAGAATCTGCCAAATTGGCCCAAGAATTCAAACCAAGTGACTGAGATATGGCCTGTGTTTGTTGAATTGGGATTTGTTATAAACAGCAAGAATTCAGGTGAGGTCCTTAAATATGTGGTGCTGACATCTAGGACATGAACAACAGAAGCCTGTAATGCCAACAGTAATAAGTAAAATAATCAAAGAATAATTATCAAAAACATCTGAAGTTATTATACATAATAATAGCCACAGGGAAGAGTAATTTTCTTAGTAGAACAATTTATTAATGGATATGTAATCAAATATCTCCCCTAAAATCTCTCCAGAAATAACAAGGCAGAAAGTAAATATTTCTTTTTTGTTTCTCTGGGAATTTTTTAAGTGTAAACATGAAATATTTGAAGAAATAATAAAAAAGTAACACATGAATCTGTAAATACATTTTTTTAAATGTGATTTCAAATGGGTACATGAGGCTTAGACATACAAACATGTCATCCAACAACTGACTTAAATATCTAAATATAAATCAAAATGCATTTCCATAACTTCAACTATAAAAACACAAATTCAGTAAGTACTTCAAATCTAGGAAGAATAACTTGAAAAAATACAGTAAGAAGTATTATGAAAGGTGAGGACTAATAAGACTGCACTTCAAAAAGTGGGACATAAATGGAGGCAGGTTCTCACCAGCACAAAGGTCTACTGCATGTGGACATAATTATACAGACAGGTGTCTAAAAGTTATATAAATACAAGCGTGATCTTTAAATATTTAAATACCCTTCAAGACAAGTTATACCTTCAACTTAACCACAAAACAGTGAGCATATCCCACTGACAGGCTATTTAAAGACCAAAAACAAAATATGTCAGAGACAGAATATACCTATGTAATTTTGCATACACAGTTATGATCAGCAAGTAATAAAATGCGCACATACAGACTGGATCAAGCTAAGCAGTTTGATATATAAATTGTGAACGTGAGGAACTCATAATTGTTTAATAAATAAGGAATACAGTTTCTAAACTGTTCGATATTATTCACACTTATTGTTGGGAATCAAGTGTTATCTATATTAGTTTCAAAACAAACATTGTTAAAAAACAGTCACATACACGATTATAAAATCACAGACAGGAGTAAGAAAAGTTAACTATATTTTGGGTATCCTTCACATATTCATTTAAAATTTGACTAGATACTATTTTAATAGACAACCATTCACTGTTCATACATTTTCCAAGTTTAAAAACAAATCATTATTATACTCAAAACACTGAGCAATAAAAATGTTTAATTACCATAGATTACTATAAACTTTGGGAATTAACTTTTAAAGTTCAGCAGAATATTAGGTACTTAAGAACATTTGAGTGATAAGTACAATAGTTTAAATTTATAAGAATTAATGTCTATATAATCTCCTTGAGTTCAGAGTACTAAATCTCACTTTCATCACCATCTTAAATTCAGACTTTATTAATGTGAATGTGAACAGGGAAACACAAACCTTATTTTTAGTGAACAAAGAAGAGACCATTGCCTTTACAGTGCAGTAACTATTTATTATCTTGAGTCATGGAACAAGTAGAAACGGAGCCAAATACAATAATCGAGACTTTTTTTGGAGGGTATCAGGCGCATTTAAACTATAAATTAATATTAACAGAAGGCACTTGAAAAGATTTTTGATGGGCTTTGCAACCAATGTTTTCTATGACAATGGCAAACTTTGTAAACAACTGCACAAAGATGGCTCGAATACCATGAAGCTTCCTATTTTATTCAAAAAGTGATATTTAGTATATAAAAACAGGGTAAATTAAGATGTTAATATATTAAACAGTTTACAAAGATTTAAAATTATAGATATATTACAAAACAGCTCCATTATAAAAATTATTTCTGCAAACAAGAAATAAAAACAAATTAAACATAGTACAAAAAGTCTCTCTGTTAATTAGCATATATTAGCTGGGAGAAGGGAAGAAAAGTCTTAGACCTGAAATCTAATAGCTTCACATAACATAAAGTATTCCTAATTAAACTTCACATACGTATTTAACACTGAAATATTTTTAAAAATTGAAATTTCCAATAATTCCTCATTTCAAGGCCACTGAAACAAATTTCACATTGTTAAATTTCTGTGGTGTGTCACTTAAGAGTCCAAGGATATCTGGGTTAACTCATCACATCCATATTCTGCTTACGGTGCTTCCACTGAACAATACATTCTGTTGTGCTTTCTCTTTGACTTTGCTAATAGAGAAATCAGCACTCAATGCCATGTCACAATGTCTAGGATTCATTCGTGAAATGAGAGGATGTTGATTTGTTGCAGATGTGGTCTGAGTCTCCAAGGATAAATAGCTCTTGAGATATGATTGCTATGACAATGTTGTTGCTAGGATAATTCCAAGGATCACAAGCAAAATAATTACACAAATAATAATGATCATCATTTTCTGTAAGATAAAGAAAAACATTAATTTGCAATATATCAAAGAAAAAAATCAACCATGTCATTTCCTAACAAAATTCTTCCAGAATTTGGGATAGTTTAAAATATAAGTCCAAAATCGAAAAAGAAAAAAAGACCATGCTCTCTGATCATAAACCAAGAAACTGTAAATTAATTTTAAAAATTAAAAAAACATATATATAAGTCTATTATCAAGGAAGAACTCCTAAATGTCCTAGAAAAGGGGACAAAAGGGAAAACTACAAAGGTAAAGCATTAAGTTCTAGACACATGTGTAATACATTAAATTAAATTAATAAACTATGTTATTGAATCAACTATTTGCTCTTGGAGGGAGAAGACATCATGTGGGCTCCTAATAAACACTTTACTTTGATCATAATAAAATCCCAGAACTTTTGTAATTGGATGCATTGCACATATTTTAAATACTTTAAATAAATCTATTTCTCATTGGCTGAAAAAATCCTTTCTATTGATGTTTTTACATTTAAGTATGACACGTGTGTTAAGAAATCAACGAGACATAACTCATCCACAGCCTAGAAGCAAGATACAATATAGCATCTACCTTTTTTTCTTTTTTTAATTAACAAGCATCCTCACACAATTGAAAGACTTAGGAAATCTAGTCTCCTCCAGGAGACGTGTCTGAGGGAGAAGGAAAGTAGACAAAGATGAAAGGCACACCATGCTGCAGGTTCTTCGTGGTCTCTTTTTAAAAAGCCGGGATTCATCATCTTAAATTGTAGTTATCAAATGTATGCCACACTTTAATCTAAGAAGTCATACCTGCTAAACCTGGATAGCTCTAAATTAACACTAGCAGGCTGTGAGCTCTGTTAATTCTGGCGTGATTCATGAAGATGGGTGTGGACGGGCCCTTCAGTGAACTTTCAAGTGAATTCCTCAGAGCCGAGGGAGAGTGGCCTTTGGGATACCCCCTCTCCTTCAAATTTTATGTTCCACATTCACATTACGTATATTTCCTGGAAAGCCCTGACTATGCTATTATCCTCTTTATATGTTTTACTAGAACTTCTCTTAGCACCTTTCTAGAGGGACGTCTTTTTCTTTGGGCCATCAATATTTGTCCTTCACCTCCAGAACCTGGGCTCGCTGTCTTTCCCATTGTGTGCCAAGCCTGATAATCTCACTCTGCCTGGGAGCATCTCAGAGAATGGCCCACTGTGGACACATGCCAAATCTCACTTGCAATTGTGCTGTTTGCCAAGTATCTGGGTACTATACAGGTGTGTACTTTCAGAATGGCTGTTAAAAGCATGGCATTTAGGGTATAAGTATTCAGATGTCATTCCTGCACCCCAAATGTCATATATCTAACAACCACAGTCATCGCATCTCCTGGTGATAGCTCCAGCCAAATGCCTGGGCTTCTCCTCAGTGGACAGAGTACACTCTTGGGAGTCAATCCAATTTTGCGTTCAAGTCACGGTTCCATCACCAACTATATATAAATCTCTCAGCCTGTCTCCTTATACATAAAATGGGGCATCCCACTCATGTTGCAGGCTTGTAGGGACGGACTACCTCTGTAAAGCAGCCTTGCATCTTGGCACATCCCACAGGGCAGGCAGGTGGGGTACATTGCCTAGCCTATAGGAAAGCCTCAATGAGTTTTTGCTAAAGGGTGAAAATATAAATTAATTTTTTACAGCATAATTAAAGACATCAACCACTGCTTTCACATACAAAAATAACTGATGGTATGTACTTTGATCTGTTTTTTATGAGTGAGTTAGGATCATTTAACGGTCATTTTTCTTTACAGGCACTAGGATGAAATGGCCAGCCAGGCCTAGGGCACAGGACCAGGCCCCATTCCTCAGGGTCACACTGAGAGGAACCTTCTTTTAGTCAACGTCAATACCAAGTAGCATTCATGAAAAGTAGCATATTTGGGTGGGTCCAAGCTAAAAACTGTAATTTATCTTTAGTATAACCACATTAAACTAACCATATTATGGCCATTAGGAAAAATTAAGAGAATACATATTTTAGAAAGTATTATGAATATACTGAAAAATACCATTACATTAGTGAATAAAAATCACATATACCATTTTTTCAGCAAAGCTAAGAGAAAAGCATTAGGAAAGATACATAAACATTCTGCCTAATAAAAACAGTGCATAAAGAGTTCTTTCTGCCTTCTAAAGAAGAGGATCTTAACAAATGCAACATCCCAGAACATATTACTGGAATAATTTCAAGTGCAATTTTGTGGCTTGCATAAATATCAGAACATTAACTGTGCAAGCTCCTCATCTATCAACTACGTACACTAAGAGTCACAGATGCTCAAGTTAAGTCTTAAAGATTGAAAAGCAGTAGTGAAACTTGACTGGACAAGGAATTCCTTTCCGTCATAACATCCTATTTGTAAAAAAGCACCACAGACTATTAAGTCTGCAGTCACTTTCATAACATAGGAATGAATTCTCCAGGAATACTCATCACAATCTAGATACTCTGAGGCATTTCATAATATTCTAATTACAAACATTTGTAATTAGAATATTATGAAATTGATTATGCCAAACATTTACAGAGAAATAATGAGAATGTCCAAATTTAATACACCAGACAGCATCCTAACTTAAAAGGGAATGCAGGAAGGATGGCTCCAATTGCGTAAGAAAACCAGAGGGAAAACACAAAATCAACAAAGTTTGGGAAAAGTTGATATATACAGTGAACAAAAATAATAATATTTAAAATAAACTGAATATCTTTTATATTCAGAATTAATTAGGAACAGGCATCCTAACTAAATACACAGTTTTCATTTTTTTTTTTTTTTTTTTTTTTTTTTTTTTTCCATATTTTATTTATACACATTATATACTCCACAGAATATTGTTTTTAATTTGTTTATATAGTCAATTATCTTTTTTTTTTCCTTTTTGTCTTTTTTACTGACCGGTAACGGGATCGCAACCTCGGTGTCACGCCCGTACCGGGGACCAGCAACGGGATCGCAACCCTCGATGTTGCGCCCACACCACGCTCAGCCAGTGAGCGGGAACCGGTTTCCACATGGGATCCGAACCCTCAGCGGGAGCGCCGCCACGCTCCGAAGCGGCGCACTCTCCAGTGCACCACCAGGCCGGCCCCTAGTTTTCATTTTAATAAGGAAATATTTTTAAACAAAATAGATGCTTCCAATTAGAAAAGCTAGACAAAGGATTTAAATTTCAGCCAATGTTTTTCACGGCTTTAGTCCCATTCCCTCAACTCCACAGTAGAATAGCGAGACAGCGTATTTTATAAAGCAACTTAAGTTGTTGCAATTTTCATAAAAGCTAAAATTTAAGAGATAAAACATTAAATGCCAGGTTTTTAATTGAGAATCAATCTTCACAGATATGGTTACAACATTAATAAAGGGCCCACTGTGTCCAAACAGTGAAATGGTCTCCCTAGATCGGAAACAAAACACAGAGACCAAGGAGCTGCTGCCTGCCATACTACCACATTAAAGGGATAAAAGTCAACCTAGAAAGCTTAAAAACTGTCGAAGAGGGTGACCTTGGCTTAAAAATGAATTACCATCCAGCCGAGCTTTATTCTCAGTAAACACAGTGGCTGGAGACTAGAACCCACCCAGCAAGGCAGGCAAGCACACTCCCAGGGCATCATGCACCACTCAGCCAACAGACTTGTATTATTTTCAAGTACGTTAAAATTGGGCAAGCAGTACTACTGGTTAATTACAAAAACTAATAAGTAAATTAGTTGATTAGTTACTTACTGCCATCCTGGCAGAGAGGCATGCACACTGACGTTATCCACACCATCATTTGCCAACTGATAAACCTATAATTAGAGCAATTACGGCAGCAAGAACCACTGACACAGCAACAATTATCCACTTTTTCTGTGAAAGAAAAGCAAGCTAATGATATCATGGTTAATTTTACATCGCCTCATCAAAAGACAACCTTCATTTAAAATAAAACAATCCATCAGAACTCACTTTAAAATCTAAGTTACAGGGCATGTCCTTAATCTTGTCTGGCAATTTTTAGTTCACAAAAAGAGTGACTTTTAATTTAATAAGGCCAGACTATTTGGAGAACATCGCCTCATCAAAAGACAACCTTCATTTAAAATAAAACAATCCATCAGAACTCACTTTAAAATCTAAGTTACAGGGCATGTCCTTAATCTTGTTTGGCAATTTTTAGTTCACAAAAAGAGTGACTTTTAATTTAATAAGGCCAGACTATTTGGAG